AATATTTGGGTGGCAAGCCCACTGGTTGCTGTCATTCACACCCAGTACATCCCAGTGAATCTTCCTTCAGTAAAATCTCCTCAGCCACACCTGGAACTATGCTGGTCAGTTTAGTTGGGTGTTTCTTACATAAATTGACAGTTAACTATCAGAGTCAAAGATTTACACCTTTCAGTTTTGGGAACAGCCCACAGTGTGCTACATAGAAATTCTGGGTTGGCAAGGGCTCTTGGAATGACATCATTTAGGAGTTTCTTTTTTATTATTATTATTTATTTTTTGGTACCAGGGATCGAACTCGGGTTCTTGCGCTTGCGAGGCAGGTGGCAGAATCACTGAGCTAAATCCCCAGCCCTAGGAGTTTCTAATCTTCTTTATTATACATAATATTATACACACATCAGGTAAAAGGGATAGAAAAGACAGGGTTGGAAATTGACATCTGTGTATTTTTTTCTCAGTGGTCCGTGAAACACGTAAAACTCGTTTATAAAAATAATCGAACCTGTGCAATACTCTAATTTTACAGATTAAAGAGACTTGATCATGAGAAATTGCTTGTTCAAGGTCACACAAGCGGCAAAGTGGGAAATGAATCCGATTTGACTTCATTGGATCTGACTTCCTCTTGGATCCAATCTCCGAGTATGCCTTTGAGGCATCCCATGTGCCTTCAGCAAGCGTCTAAAATTCCAGGAACCAAGATCCACAGAATATTTTAAAGGTAAAAAAACCTTACAGGGGATGAAGGGAGGGCGGCGCTGAGTCGATTGAACAGGACCTTCTGCTTGGGAGTCTCTAGGAGGCGCTAAGCGAACAGAAACACCCTTTCGGGACTGCAGGGTGAGCGCGCACTGCTTTGGTTTTGTTTTTCCGGGCGGAGGAAGCCTGGGAACAGCTCGTGCGGGTGGTGGCGGTGCAGCCCCTCTCGCTGGCTTCTCTGCCTGCCTGCTCCACAGACACTCAGCTCCCGGGCAAGTCTAGTCCTCCGCCGCGCGGTCGGGGATCTGTACCTCGCTTCCACACTGTCGCGTCCCTTCCGGGCTGCCCCAGTGCGCCCGAAATAGGGCTCGTGACGTGGTCAGCCTTGTCCCCAGTACCAAAGGGACAGGTTCTGGCACGAGTGGTGGGTCAAGAAGTGTTCGACGAACCTACTGAACTCTCCAGCCTCCTAAATAACTGATCCGAAGGCTGAACGTTTGTCCCTATAAATCACCGCAGAGGTGCCCCTCCTCCGCCGGCCCACACACCGTCCGGGCCCGGCCCGGCCCGACGCCTCGCTGGTTTCCCTTCCACATGGGGATGTCGGGCGCGGCTCACTGCAGGATTCGAAGCTGCACTCGGCCTCCTGAAGGGGCCGCTTGGGACGGAGTCCCCTGGCGGCTCAGGAGTTGAGTCTTCGAACTTCAGGAAAGATACGTTCCAGGGCGCAGTTCCTATGGCAACCGTGCCAGCCGGCGCGCCACTTGGAGGTCTACTGTCTGGGATTCCAGCCAGCGTCTCTATGGTTTCAGCAGCCTAGAAAGACCGGCACAGCATTTCCGGGAAGATGGCGGCGAATATATCAGGTGTAGCACATGCTTCCGCGGAGAGGACTTCGCAGTGACGGTAAGGGGCTCCATTCCCCTGGGCTCCGGAACAAATGTGAGGGCAGGAGAGTAAGTTTTACCCTAGTGACACTGCAGTAAGAGTGCTGGAATTTAAACCTTAACGGGAGGCCTAGGGAAAGGGCAGTTGGTTTTCAGACCGCTGTTTAAGACCAGTAGCTTTGGACCGCCAACGAAAACAGATTGACAGGCGAGGAGCCAGTGCCTTCATAGTGTGTGTGTCGCACAGCACGAAAGACCTAGTTGGTTCTGTCCTCAGTTTTTAATGAAAGCCGTTTAAAGCAGTTCCTGCCCGCTAAAAGCAATACAACAAATAACGATTGAACACATTCTCAGTTTCCTGCGACGCCTTAACTATCAGGGGCTGAGGAATAAAGCCTTGTCTCGGACTTCTGGGGCGTGTCACTTTGGTACCGGGGATAGAACTCGGATCCTTGCGCTTTGGAGGCAGAACCACTGAACTAAATCCCCAGCCTGCGTGTCGCTTTGAATTATCGTGACAAGGGATAAGCTGTAAACAGGTGGCACAAAGAGCTTTGAGACTGAGGAGCGTAGTGATTAAGAACACAAGTTCTGGAATGCCGAGTACTCTCAATCCCCTATTGCTATTTGACTTGTGCAGTAACTAAACCTCTCAGTGCCTGTTTCCTCACTTAAGAATTATGGACAAGAACACCTCCTAATAGTGATACAGGAAATGACACCGGAGACGAAATATGAAATATTATGTCTCCTAACCTGTTAGATGTCTGATATGACAAGCTTGTGTTCTCTAAAAATCGAAGAATGAATTCTGGGACTAATGGAGGTTAAGAGCAGGAAGATATTTATTGATAGGGTAGCTCCTGAGGCAGGAGGGTAGCCAAAAACCCCACTGTAGAGTTTTATGGAGTAAAACCCACGTGCGTACGTACAATGTGGGGCACAGCAGTGATCACCCAATAAGGTACTTGTTTCCCAATTGGATAGCTATTACCTAATAAGTGTGGATGGAAAGAACACAGACCTCTAGGAAATGCTGGTCCAGAGGTCCTGGTCACTGAGGTGGCTGATGTCTACCTAGACTTCATTAGGCCATGTTTGTCCTTTGAGGAAGTATACATGTCTGGTCACTTTGTTTTAATCACGAGGCCTGGTCTCCAACAGATGTGTCTCTGGCCACAGTTGTGATGTTTCATGATGGCCCTCTCTGACTGCCTGTATTTCTCCCTAACTCAGTGCTCTAAATAATGTTGGTGGCACTTAAATGAGATAATCCATGTGAACTAATTGGCAACAGCCAGGCACTGAGCAAATGTTCAGTTAAGTGGTACATGTGATTGAACCCAGTGCCTTCATCTTTACACTGAGCCACATCCCCAACCCTTTAAAAAAAATTTTTTTGAGACAGTGTCTGGGCTGGGTTTGAACTTGAATTCCTTGTGCCTTAACCTTCCAGAGTGCTGGGATTACAGGCGTGCACCACCTTGTTGGGTTTAAATACGGTTATTTATATAATTGTTGAAATCTAGGGATGGATAGCTTGGAGGTGACTTCTGAAAAGCAGTTTTGAGGTGACCTTTAAGGCCTCTGTGTTTGAAATGTCTTACTGTATCAAGAGGCAGGATGAGCCTTAAGTCAGTGCTTTTCTGTTGGAGCTCTGTAGGGGTCAGATTATCATCCTTCACAGCAGATGTGGGAAGAGAGGTGTGAGTCACCTGACTGCTTCTGTGTACCTAGGGACTGCTCACTCTTCTGAAACTAAATGCATGATCTTTGGGAGGAGTCTGTAATAGTGATTTTTTTTTTTTTGCAGTACCGGGTATTGAACTCAGGATCTTGTGCTTGTGAGGCAGGTGCGGTGCCACTGAGCTAAATCCCTGGCCCTGATTTTTTAAAAATATAGGATCCCTACCAGACCTTAAACCCAAGTGGAAGTTTTACCCTTCCTAGTTGTCTTTTGGGGAGGCCACTGGATGACCCCAGCAGTCCCAGTAGTCAGTGTTAGCAGGTGTCTGCAACTCCTGTGACAAATGAAATGTCTACTGATCTTAGCACAAGTAAACTGTTGTGAGTCAACGCTGGTAGTTTTAGTTTTGAATGTTTTGTGTGATAAGCCATCTTAACAATTTCAGAGGAAAATTTAGTGTATAAATTGCATACTGCTGGTGTGTGTCCCTAGGAGGAACATGGGAGTTACTGTAGGGAACAGCACTGGTTGTTGATGTGACTGTGACCGGCAACCACTTTGCAGTCAGGTAATTTGCACTCATATTACAATTCCATTTCTTATTTGCTGTGTATCCTCAGGCAGGAATCCCAGGACTCATTTTCTTCACTTCTAAGATAATGGTGATACCTACCTTATAGGACTGTTTGTATGAGATGACAGTATGTGTAATCTCCCTGTCATGTGTTAAATGCTCAGTGAGACTGCCCCTCAACAGGAGTTTCAGAAGGGCTGGGAAGGCTGAATGAAATCCATGGAGAGCCCTGGCATAGTCTGGCCCGTGGGAAGCTTGCCTCACATGAAACCGGTTCTCCTGGACTCAAGTGTGTTGGGTTGGCCTCTCTGGCCAGATGGAGCTCCCCAGGGCCAGGGCTCCCGGTCTCTCCCAGGGTAATTCTTAGGGTTTAGGAAAGAATTCTTTCAGACAAGCCAGGATGGGCTGATGACTTCTTTGGACACTTTCTCCTTCCCTCTGCAAAGGACGACGTTCTCTCCTTCCCTGGTGAGACCCTGAGAGCAGCCTCTTCATCCACCATGAGTGTCACCCCAGAGGCCAAGGGTCGAGGGATGAAGTTTGCTGAGGAGCAGCTGCTAAAGCATGGATGGACTCGAGGTGATCCGGGAGTGGGGGCTCCCACAGCCCAGCTCCCTGCCCCTTTCTGTCGGTCTGGGTTAGTTCCTGTAGTCCTTTCTTCAGTAGGAGGAAAAGCTAGTTTAGTATATGTGCTGCTGAAGTGAGCATAGGAAAAGCTTGTTTAAATAGAAATTTGCAGAAGAATTTCCTGACTCATCCAGAAAAGGGGGAAATGGAGAAACTTGGGGGTGGACAGTGAAGTGGTCGGATGAGGGGAAACATTAAGACATGGCCTCTGCCCCGAGTTATGACAGGAAAGATAGTTAGGGCTCAAAGAGAGGACTGCATGGAGAGGCTCTAGAACAAACAGTACTGACGGGGTGTCCCAGTGCTAGGCACATGTGTGGGATGCCTCTGAGGACTCCACCAGTCTGCAGAAACCAAGTCACCCACTGTCCTCTACAGGCAAAGGCCTGGGCCGGAAGGAGAATGGCATCACGCAGGCCCTCAAGGTGACACTGAAGCAAGACACTCATGGGGTAAGACTGGGCAGGAAGGGGACCTGGGAGCATATGGAGCAGGCACTCAGCTTGGACTTCTCCCTGCAGGTGGGACACGACCCTGCCAAGGAATTCACAAACCACTGGTGGGATGAACTCTTCAACAAGACTGCAGCCAACCTGGTGGTGGAAACTGGGCAGGTCCGAGCTGCTAGGCAGCCACGTGAGATCTGAGGGCAGGGTGGAGAGACACGGGTCACTCACTGATGCTCTCCTGCAGGAAGGAGTGCAGATCAGGCGCCTTTCTGAGACTACCCAGCGTAACCACCCCAAGCCCAACCTGCTGTACCAGAAGTTTGTGAAGGTATCAGAGGCTGGGATGAGGGTCCCCCATCTCCCCTGGGGCCTGAGCAATTGCTGTGCGTGGTCAACTGGGTCTCAGGACTGTCCCAGAGCACCGAGATGTGTGCCCAGTCTTCTTGTGCTTAGACTGGCCAGGCCCTCGGCAAGAACTGAGACCTTTGGGTTCTGTGGATCCCTGCTGTCTGCTGGCCAGGGAAGAGGGGAGGACAGAGCAGGTTAGGTGGTGGTAGGGGTGTCTAGGTCAAAAGATGAGACCTGAGGAATTACCCAGTCCATCCCTATTTCCCATGGGTGGCTTGCTAAGAGCCCACGGTTGGTAACGGCAGACAGGACTGGAACCCAGGTCTTGGGGTTTAACTTTTACCAAACTGACAGAAAAGTTTACTGATTGACTGATCGTATGCTAAGAGCTATACCTGGCACAGCAAATCCTCCCCTTTTCTCTGAATCTGTTGCCATACACTGCTGTCTGCCACCTTCACCTTTTCATAGCCTCCTCACTAGTCTCATGCCACCCAAATCCATTCACCCTTCACACATCATCCAGAGTGCAAGTTCAAGGCCAACCTAAACTACATAGCAAGTCTCAAAAAAACAAAACAAAAACCATCCAGAAATTTTTTGTATTTTGGAGGGGGTACAGTGCCAGGGACTGCACCAGGGCCTCATGCTTACAAAACAAATGCTCTGCTGCTGAGCTCCGTCCCCAGCCTGAACATTCTCTCTACAACACCGAGGCCATCGTGTCACTGGCTGCTCTTACACGGCGGCAGGCCACTGACCCCAGCGGCTCTCGTCCTTTGTGCCTGGTCCCATCTTTTCTAGCCTTGTCTCTTGCCAGTTCTCTCCAGCACCACTACACCTCAGGCAAACAATCTCTTTCAACACTGTGTCTTCCGCCGTCAGGTTTTCATGCGTCCTGTTCCCTTGGCCAGGGACATTCCTCTCCCTTTACCTCTTTCTTAAGACAAGAAGCCCATCAGTTCCTTCTGGAAACCATCCCACAAACCCTGCAGTCTGTACTGCAGGCAGCTCTGCCCTGTAACTGCTGGGTTCTGCTGTATCCCTCCTCGCTATGTATTTCCACCTGGGCTGGAACCACGTCCCTCTCTTCTCCGCATCCCCAGCTCCTTGGCCATAGCGGTCTGTTAATCCAGTTAAACAGTACTGTGGACAAGTACTGGGTGGAGTTACACTGGCATCTTCTTGTCAGCCACAGCACCATGGGGAGGACTTGAGCCCAGACACTCCCTGCTTGTGCCCAGCAGCCAGATCCCTGCATAGGGCTATGGGTTCCTGTAGGCTTCCACAAGGGAAGAGGATGTTGGTGTGTTGAGTGGGCCTTGTCTACTCCTGTGGTCCCCTTTGATCCCCCTCTAGACAGCCACGCTGACCTCGGGGGAAGAGAAGCCCAACGGAGACTTGGAGAGCTGCAGTGACAGCCACCAGGAGCCCACGCCTCCAGAGATGTGAGCCGTCCTCTCTGCACTGGGGCATGTGGGAGGAGATGCCTTGGATTTAAGCAAAAGGCCAAGCCCAATGCTTGACTGGGCTTCTTGGGGGCCTAATTAGGTTCTAGTGATCTTTGTGTCCATAGCACCTGAAAAGTACCAGGTCTGGAACAAAAACTCAGTATTGAAGAAATGTTCTAGAGGGGGGAAGAGGTAGAGCCCTACCCACAGACCTGCAGTAACTCTTTATCTGCCCACAGTCTGACCGATGAAATGCTGCTCCAGGCCTGTGAGGGGCGAACGGCACACAAGTAAGCGTGGATACCTCCTCGAGCACCTTTCTTTTCTGCCCAACCTTGAGGGTGGCCTTTGCCACCTTTTGATTCTTTTCACTCCAAGGGAATAATTCCTGCCCTCTATGCAGCTGCTGTCCGAGGACAGGCAGGTCTCTGCCCCCACCTCAGCCTTCACCTTTCTGCAGGCTGAAAGTCAGGCCCATCTCCTTTGATAGCACCGCTGACTGGGCCCTCATCTGTTTCAGGGCTGCCCGTCTTGGGATCACAATGAAGGCCAAGCTTGCTCGGCTTGAGGCCCAGGAGCAGGCCTTCCTGGCTCGCCTCAAAGGCCAGGACCCAGGGCCCTCCCCACCACAGACTGAGAGCAAGCCCTCCAAGAAAAAGAAAAAGAAAGGGAAGCAGAAAGACGAGAAAGAGGCTATAGCAGAAAAGAATCAGAAGCACCTAAATGACAAGCACCTAGAATACACTAATCAGAGCACTGGGAAAAGCAAGAAGAAAAAGCGACGGAAAGAAGGAAAGGTCAGAGAAGAGACAGAGGGAACAACTGTAGGAAGCGAGGAAGAGGCTACAGGGCCTGGGGAGCTGAAGAGCAGAGCACAGTCTGGTCAGCCTCCCAAGAAAAAGAAAAAGAAGCAACACCATGAAGAGAAAGAGGAGGGGGCAGGGATCTTGCCTAAGGGGGGAAGAGGGAGAAGGGAGGAGGCTGTGGTGGGTGTCGGGGAAAAGGTGGTGAGTAGGGCATGCACGGACCCGTGCAGAAGCAAGAACAGCAGGCAGCGTGAGGAGGAGCGTTTGAGCACAGAGGATGACGGCAAGGAGTCAGCTTTAGGTGGTGAGTCTAGGGAAGCAGAAAGCGGAACACACAGTAAGGGAAGCAGCAAGAGAAGCAAGAAAAGACGGCCGCGTCAGGAGGAAGAGGTCTTGAGCCCATGCCATGATGATAAGGTCGGTGGGACTAGGGAAACAGACAGCAGAGAGAAGAGGCAGGGGGAGCACCCAGAGCAGGGGAGAGCTGGTGTCAGCACAGATCGGAGAGCCAAGAAGAAACAGCAGAGAGACTGAACATCTGCTCAAGGTGGGGCTCAGCTGATTCCCTTCCAGCTGTGGCCTTGGGACCTGCGTTGCTACACTACGTGGGGTCCCCAGAGGAGGAAACGGAACTCACACCTTAGCCGAGGGCGTGGATGTAGAGCCCTCTTCAGCTTCTCACCCAGAGACCATGATTTCAAGTGCTTCCAGGAGCCAGGCAGTTGAGGGACAAGGGGTGCTGGGGAATGCAGGTGGGGTGCCTGCATTGAGGGAGCACCCCGCTAAAAGGCTGAAAGGCAGACTACAGCAGTGACTTGACTTTTAAATACTGTGATCTAAAAAAAAACAATTTACGTCTGTGGGCTAGATTCAGCTCACAGGTTGGCAATTTCTAACACTTTATAAACAAACACCATCAGCCTGGGTTCCTGGCCTACAGATGGGTCCCAACATGCATCTGTTACCAGCCCGGGAAAAGTCCTAGTACAAATGAAGAGATTTTCCTTGGGGTCTTTCAAGAGACTCCAGAGAAGGAAAAAGTGGAAACAAAGTTTTTGTACATAGGGAGGAGAAAAAAGGAATCAGGAAAAAAGGCGGAGGTGCCCTGTACAGGTGCAAGCTCCTATGATGAGTGTACACCTAAAATGTTGTTTTGCTGTTAAAGAAAAAATTCCTTCCGTTCACTTCCTTATGTCCTGTTATGCCAATACAAGCGGAAGCAGGCCGGGCATGGTGGCACATGCATGTAATCCCAGCACTCGGGAGGCTGAGGCAGGAGGATCGCCGTGAGTTTGAGACCAGCCTGGGCTACATAGCAATGTGAACTACATAGTGAGACCCTGTCTCAAAAAAAACAAACGGAAGCAGCTTAGAGTTGGCATCCACCTCCCCATCTGTTCCAAACAGGTAAGAATTACTTGGGTGTACCTGGACATGGTGGCTCACGCCTGTAATCCTAGCCCTCGGAGGCTGAGGCAGGAGGATCGCTGTGAGTTGGAGACCAGCCTGGGCTGCATAGTGAGTTCCAGG